CTTTGAACTTACTGTTACCCTTTAAGCTCTTCTAGTGAATAATTAAAACTAAACTACAAAGCATATTTTGTGAGGTTGATTACACTACAGATTGTAGGTTTCTGCTTAGTGACTTATTTTAAATGGCTGCCAATTACCAAAGGGATAATTCTGCCATTTGTCTTCATCAACAAGATTGGCTGATCCCAAAAATCAGCTCCAAATCATAGCAGAAGGATCTCATTTGTGATTCACCATATTGACAGCGGGTCCGTGGAATCCCTGTGAGTACTGGCATAGCGGAGCCTCGCCATCTGAGCATTTCCTTTTGTTGAAATGAATCCCCACAGCAAAGACAGCTTTACGAAGGTGAGCATGGAAAGTGAGAGAATGGAGCTGAGAGAAAGAAAATCACCATGCTGCTAATACAACAGAATCCAGAAACTTCTACCGGACAAGAGTGTTGTTATTACAAGTCAAGGCCTTACTCTCCAAGGCCTTACATAATTCTGTGTAACAGCGTATGTGTGTATAAAAGCAGAATCTCAGACCCACCTCAGAATACTAATCCCTATTTTAACAACATACCAGATGATGTCTATTCACATTAAAATTTGAGGAGTACTACTCAAAAAAACTACATGGTTATACATACCTTGGACAGAGAATGAATATCTAGAATATACAAAGAACTCAAAACAATCTTATCTCTCAAACAAAGGCTCAGTCAAAAACTGAACAACTGAAATGAACGGACACTTCTCAGAAGTACAATGGTCGATGAATACATGAAAAGGTGTCCAGCATCACTGGCAATTAGAGACATGTAAATGTAAAACATACTGAGATTTCACCTTCAAAAAGGATGCCTGCCATCAAGAATTAAATAATAAATGCTGGCTAGGCTGTGAGGGAAAATGAACCTTTCTACAATAGTAGGAATGTACAGTGATACAACCACTATGGAAATCAGAATGGAGATTCTTTAAAATCTAAAACTAGAAATTCCATTTGATGCAGCTATTCCCAAAAGAGTTAAAGACATCATATTACAAACAAACATACATACCCATGTTTATAGCAGCAAAAGAACTAAGTCTTGGGAGTGGCCTATATGTCTATCAGCAGATAAATGGATAAGGAAAATGTGTTATTTATGCACAATTTATTGTAAGGAAGGATGAACTTGAGTTACTTTTAGGAAAATGGATGCACCTTGAGACAATAATATTAAGTGAAATAAGTAAGATACCCAAATATTAAATATCGTACGGTTTCTCTTACATGAAAAGCCTAAAATATAAAAAAATTAAGAAGCAAAGTAAAAGGTAACAAAAAAAATAGGGAAGTAGATCTTTTGCAAATGGTAAGTGGACATTAAAATAAATTAAGATGTGTTATGTACATGGATCAATTCCACATTGTGCACTGCAAACATTTACCAATAAAAACTAAAAAAGAAAGGAAGGAAAAAGAGAGAGAGAGAGAGAGAGAGAGAGAGAGAGAGAGAGAGAGAGAGAGAGGGAGAGAACCTGCATAGGTAAGATGATAAAGTGGCCAAAATCCAAAAATGAAACAAAAATACAATACTTACCTAGAGGCAAAAGACTATGACAGGTGTCATACAAAACCAGTTCATCATCTCAGTTCTCAATTTTAGGGGTTTATAACACCGTTGAGCTGGTATCGTGGACAGATCTTTCCACTGATCATAAATCAGCGAGCTGCAGTGGCCTAGCACTTCTTAGAAATACACAGTGACCCCCAGTGCACCACTCAACACTAAGCCCGCTTAATATGGAAGCCTGCAGCAACCTCACTAAAATATTTCAAGAGTAGAATGCACACTGGGGAAGGAAATAGGCTGCCGACAAACTTCCTGAGGTACAGAATAGCAGGAGAGATGAATGGTTGTGCTGTGGTGCCACATCGATTGCAACACACTGAAGCATTTTAAGGGACTTCGCAATAAACATAAACACATAATATAGGTAAAGGAGTTGCTAAGCGGAACCATTTCTCCTGGCATGAATGAATTTGTCTGCCACTTGAGTGCTGTCAAACACACTCCAAAGGTTCTGAAATACCCTCATAAGAGGTTTAAAAAAAGACTGCACGCCTCATCTTAAAAAGTAAACTGCCGCCACAGTTCTGCAATTAATCATGACAAGCACAAGTTGAGAAATCCCATTTAGATTTAGTACAGTGATTTCCCTCCGGACTTTTGAATCAACTGTGGATTACAAATTTGATGATATGAGAAAGGGGCAAACATAACAGAGGTGGAAGTCAAGATACAACCTGCCTGGCTTTAAATCAACTGTCTTTTAAATAAAGAGACAGAATATAAAGGGATCCTTTCATGGATCCTGAGTCACGGCCTATCATCAGAAATGCTTACCAGAAAGACTTCTGTGCATTTTGCACATGTCATCTGTGAATATTCAGTCCAAAGTGATGCTCTGAATATGTGGTGCTGCTAAAGATGGTGAAAGCTTGACAAGCATGACATGATGGAAGCCCAAAACAAAGCAAAAACCTTTCCTTCCATTGACAGAGTTAGATGGAAGAATTATAATTTATAGTGTAGGCAGTCTCGTTCATCATCCCATCTTCTCCACCCTGGGCAGCACCTGTGAACTGTCTGCTCCTCAGTGCTGCACACCTATCTGTACAGTGTAGTACCAGGTCCTAACAAACGCAGGAGTCTGGATCATTTCAAATCAGCACATTTCTCCACATACCCTGCCATGGATTGATTGATCAATAGATAGAGGGATGTACTTGTGAATTTATATATGTGTGGATATAATTTGTATATATTATATTACACACACACATATCTCATTACATATGCAATCAAGCTTTGTTAATGTATAGATTAATGAGAATTAAGAAAGACCCCATGGTTATAATATAGAATGCTTTAAGTATCACTGAACCTACTGAAAATAAAATCCAAAATCATAAACAGAATAAGGAAATTCTGAGGGATGATAATGTATATGCTTTTCAGTTTGACACTGAATGCTCCTCACACATTAATCGCATTACAGCATGAAATCTCAATCATGTCGTCCACGAGGGCGCGACATTGAGTCTTGAAGGGGAATGAACTAACTAATTCAATTGTGGGTGACTGTGGAAGAGCACAGTATAAACACAAAGTATACACACAGCGCCAAAATTTCACAGGGAATGGGACAATTATGGAGGAAAGGTTTTAAAGGCTCATCAGGGAGGAAATCGTGAATCAAAGTTAAAAACACTGGACTATCTTGCTGTCCTTGTATCAACAGACATCTCTAAATAGATCAATACCCTTCCTGTCACATCAATGAGATATGTAACCTTTAGTTCCAAACTACTAACATTTGTTTCTCATCCTCACAAACCTCACTACATATTCATGGGAATTTTCAATTTACACTTCCTTCAATTTCTCTTTTCCCACCATGTCAATGTTTATTCTCTCAAAAATAGCACTTATTGGCTGGACGATTCTTTATAACATTTAATTATTCACCATCTTGAAATGTAACCTACTATTGTTTGTATCTCTCCAACCTGTAAGTATGTTTATATATTTTTTACACAGAAAAAAGAATGTTTCACAAAGATGCCAAACATCCTTCAATGTTGGAACTATTTCAAACTAAATGTCATAAGTGGAACACGTAAAAGTTGAGAATAAAAATATAAAACCTGCTTTATTGCACATACTTGTTTTTTCCCCAATTCTGAAAATCTATATGGAAGATAACTTTCTTTCTTTGGTTGAGGCTAATATTGACAATAATTAAACTTCATAGGAATAGAACAGAAAATCTAAATAAAAAAACATTTCAAAAACCTGTAAGTATAGATCCCATTCAAATCTATTTTAAAATAAATTTTCCTGCTGCAACATCACACTATCAAACACATAATACATGTTACCATGTAACAAGCATGATGCACATGTGTTAAATATATTTTCAGTTCAACAATTAATATCTATTTATTCCTGGCCTTATTTTTCTAAATTTACAAACTAGGGCACTGAGAAATGTAGTAATTTTTTCTAAGCCCACACAGCTAATGAGAGCAAGGGAAAATTTTCTAATTTAAATATCTTTTAAATGTCTTGAGTTTGCACACAAAAAAAGAAAAAAAATCTATTCATCTGAAGGGTGACCACCCAAACACAACGTATATGCAAATATCCACAATTATAAATAATTCTTATAGCATTTTACTTATTACTATATAATAAATATTCTGATATTTCTATACAATGGCAATCTCAACTATTTATAAATATTCCCAACTTTCCATGAGCAATAGTAATAATAATAAATTCTTTGCTAACCTTAAACCACACCATTTTAAAGTTGTTTCCTGAATTCAGATCCAGTTGATGTATTTACATAAAACTCAATCTTTCACCAACTATTTGTATCAAGAAGTTCTTAGATATTTTGTAAAACTATTTTAAATTTTTGAAAAATAAGTCTGCATGAAGCCTTGTCTTACTAGAAAGCATTGTGGGGATCCTTGCTTTTTCGCTCCTCTTCTGGCCTGCCAAGTTAATCCTTATTCAAAGGCCATAACAAAGGTAAAGAAGCTCTAGGTTTCAAAGTGTTAGCAGAGCACTAGGGGCAGGTCAGATGTTCACAACTGTAGATCCCAGGATTCAAGTTGTGCTAAATATAGCAAACCAATATAATATTCCTTGCTTCCTTTAGCTTTTTGATCTTCAGATTCAATAGTGTATCATGTCATAAGATAAAATTAGTAGCATCTAACCAAAAATACTTCACAAATAAATGTGGCCTAAAGGGAAATATTCATACTTTCTATCTCTGAAGGAAAAAAAAATATAATACTGAAATTCCTAATGAGCATTCCTTATGTTCCTTTTCTTAAATTGGTAATTAATACTTAAATTTTACTAGAAGAAATATTTTGGAGTAGGTGAGGCTTTTGCTTCTGCTTTTGATTTTGAAATATCATAAGGAAATAACAGAAATCGTCCTTACCTTCTTTCATAACCCGCACACCATCCAGGTGGGTACAGCCTTGTTTCCAAAGCTTGACCATGTGTGTGAAGGCCTGGACACAGGGCTGTAGGATTCCTACCACAGTCAGCTTCTGTTCTTCACAAACATTTGGCCTTGAACAAAAAAGAACCGGTAATGCTATGAATATATATATGTATGCTTTGTATATGAGCATGAAGCATTTATTTCTCCATTTTCCAAAAGAAGTTTGTGATGTCTTAAAAAAATACATAAAGTGAAAACAGAAAAATACAATATAAAAATCAAAGCCCCATAAAGTACGTGTAATTATAACATGTCAATTAAAGTTTTTTTAATAATTCAAGACCAGAATAGAATTTAAAGAGCAGGAAAAAGTAAAAAGTTGGATATATAAGTCATAATTTCCCTCACAGGTAGAAAAAAATGTGCCACATATTAATTTTGAGCTTTCTAGTAATCAAAATTCTAAAAAAATGTCAGGTTTCTCAATCTTCATAAAGAAAAAGCTAACCTATTCATTAAAAGAAGTTAAACTTTTCCCAGAAATTATTTCTGAACATTGTTCCATCTTGCTGAATTTTTCATGAAAGACTTGTGAAAACACAAGTATTTTTTCACCTGTAACATTATACTCATATTCCCTTATACAAAATTTAAGAAGATTTACAGAACTTTAGATACATTATCTTTGATTTTAAATGTTTCAAGCTAGGGTTGCAGATGTATATGAGTGGTAGAGAACTTGCCTAGCATGTGTGAGGCCTTAAAGTCAATCCCCAGTACTGTAAAATAAAATAAAATAAAATAATAAAAATGTAGAGCTAGATTATATTGATAGCCTAGAGTGGTAGAGTTAATATTTATACTCATTTCATAATTCAATGAATGCTTTATTCAGAGATCAATGATTTACTAGTTCACATCACTTTGCTTTGGCAAGTAATATTAATGATTACAGCAAGTTTAGCCTACTGCTTAGACTTCTCCTGCATTCCAAGTTACTTACAAGCCATCCACTGACCCACTGTGAAAACAAAAAAATGGATTCAAACTTTAGACAGTGAGCTTTGTAAATCTAGCATTTGATTTGATTCCTGCTACCAGGCAGCTCACACTGTGGTTTAGTAGCCATCTTCACAATATGCTACAAGTAGGACAGATCTTGGATTCAGGAGCACTTGCCAGTTCTTCCTAACAGTCTCTGTGAACTTATCCAGGACGTCATCATTGTCATCATCATAGTCCTCGTCCTCATCCTTATGCTGACAAATGACCAATACAATAGTTCTCCCTATGCTACATGTGTCAGTTACATCAGCCTCCAGCACTACAGTGTCTTTTTGTTATCACTCCTTTCTGTAACTCCAAATCATTATCTGATTTCACTTACAACCCAATTTTCCCTTCTAGATATATTTCTAAAACGCTCTTGTTTAGACTGTTAACCCCACCTTCACTGAACAAAATTTATACCAGGCTTTATTTCTGAGTTTGCACAGTACGCTTTCACATTGTAAATACTCTGTTAAACAATAAATATAATAACTCTGCTGAAGCTATGTTATCTATAAAATTATCAAAAATTTAAAAATTCTTAGCTTTTAAAAATTCTGTATTACATTTCTATAAATCACCACACCAACACTGTTATATGGCTTTACATGACTTTCATGAACTAAGTAACCTCAATTGGAATGCACTTACAGCCCTTTATTTTTAGGCAATAGTTTGAAATGTTGTACATCATTCTACCTTGACTTCAATTTTGCAACCTCCTTTTCATGTATCCACTCATCTACCACCCACGCATCCATTCAAAAATCACTTATTCTACACCTATGTGGATAAGCAATCATATTAAATGCATTCTCCCAATCCAAGATTTCGGACAAGTTTTCTTAGGAAGTACATAAAACACTGATCAGTAAGTGATAAAATGAGGCAGGAGAGTAACCAATAAAGGATGTATCACTCCCACTCTCCTGGACCTCTTGGCACTTGCCATAGATCTATCCCCTAGTCTCCTTCTGTAAATGTATCCACTCCACAACAAGACTGTAAACTGCATGCACTGAAAACATGCACTACTAATAATAAAAAAGAAGCATTTCCCAGCCAGTCATCATCATCGATGACTGTTTCTCCACAAGCAAGAGGGCACCTTTGAATTTATACACTAATTCCTGTCAGTGATTTGCTGAGGGCTTCTCCTTCCATAGCATTTTAGACCTAAAGCACAGACAGGCAAAGTCAGCTTCCAGCAAGCAAAGTAAGCCCTGAAGCGGAAAAAAAAAAAAAAAAAAAAAAAAAAA